TGCACCCCGACACCGGCATCTCCTCCAAGGCCATGGGCATCATGAACTGCTTTGTGAGCGACATCTTTGAGCGCATCGCCGGGGAGGCCTCCCGTCTGGCTCACTACAACAAGCGCTCCACCATCACTTCCAGGGAGATCCAGACCGCCGTCCGCCTGCTGCTCCCCGGAGAGCTGGCCAAGCACGCCGTGTCTGAGGGCACCAAGGCCGTGACCAAGTACACCAGCTCCAAGTAAACTCTGCTGCTGATATACCAACAACACAACCGCTCTTTTAAGAGCCACCCACTACTTCTATAGATGTATTCCTCGGTTTTGAATTAGTGTACAACTTGATGCATAATCCATGGATCCTTAACGTAAATCCCTTAAATATGAAATGCATATATTTCTCACATATTAATAGTTTACTGAGCCTCGTTACAGCTCGCCCCACAATGGCTCGGTTAAAACACAACGTATACTTTCAAAAGTGTAATAAAGTATACAAAAATATAAAAGAGGGTTTAACTATATATCATGAGAAATTGTAGATTATGTTTCACATTACTGTATCTCTAATTAATACAGACTTGTTTTCCTCTATGAAATAACGATCTTTAAGTTCTTACCTAGATTCCACCGGGTCCGTCTGCGCCGCGTTACGGCTGCGCCGCGGTTTTGGTCCGGCCTCCTCCGGCGTCATACCCTACCAGGCGCGTTTCAGAAGCATTTCAGAAGCGGAGAGTCTTGCCTGCCGGCTCGCAGTATTTGTTGATTTGGGCATATTTCCTGGACAGGCTACTTTGTACAGACAAAGTTAATAACTGTAATATTCCAGTTATAAACGACATGAATCAAAGATGTGTTGCTGTATTTTAGTGGTAAACATTTTTTCGATCCTAATTTTAGAAAAGCCCTGCGCCGAGCCGCTTCTGGGACGCGTCTGAGCCGTAACGCGCCGCGTGTAGTGGAATAGCACCCATTGACTAGAGTGGCCGCGATTACCTTGAGCACCGCGGCGCAGCCGTAACGCGTCCGTAACGCGTCCGTAACGCGCCGCAGACGGACCCGGTGGAATCTAGGGGTTAGTCAGCACTAAAGTACTTTGAGCATATGTTTCCCTGCTAACTTAATTTCAGTGGATACCCATTATTCTGTCCCCCCCCCTCCCAGTGAGCTGTGGTGTTCCACAAGGAAGCATATTAGGTCCGTTACTGTTCCTAATTTATGCAAATGACATGTCATCAGCATGTGACTGCAACTTGTTCCTGTTCGCGGACGACTCAGCCCTGCTGGTCTCTGACAGGAGCAGATTGCAGGTTGAAAAAACCCTCAGCTCCGAGCTCGGCAGAATCTGCACCTGGCTCGCCGATAATAAATTATCATTACACCTGGGTAAAACAGAGTCCATTCTCTTCGGTTCGAAACATAATCTCAGCAAATCCGACGACTTCTCAGTTGCAGTGGGTGACATTATTGTCACAAGTAAGAAGGAAATTACATACCTAGGATCTATTCTTGAGGCAAACCTCTCCTGTGACAAAATGGCATCCAATGTAATAAAAAAAGTCAATCAAAGAACTAGATTCCTATACCGGATCTCCTCTCTGGTAAACAAAAACACCCTGAAAACTCTGGCAGGAGCACTCATTCAAGGGTACTATGACTATGCTTGCACGTCATGGTACCATAGCACCTCCAAGGCGCTAAAAATAAAACTTCAAACATCGCAAAATAAACTGGTCAGACTACTGCTTGACCTTTCATCTAGAACCCACCTCACCTCTGCCCACTTTGACAACCTAGGATGGCTTAGAGTAGATGACAGAGTACAGCTACTTGCAATGGGCCTGGTCTACAAGATCCACTACACCTCTATGGTAACCATGTACATGTCAAAATTCTTCCCAAAGGTCAAGGAATACCATGATCATAACACCAGAGGGAGCTCCACAAATCATGTAAAACCCAGATTTGGCACAAAAAAAGGGGAATACACGTTTCGCAATTATGCCACATCAAGGTGGAACGCTCTTCCCACAACTGTAAAGGAAAGTAAAACTATACTTACCTTCAAAACCTCTCTTAAAGAGCACCTTCGGGGGAAAGCATTGCAAAACTGGCCCCGGTAATGGTACAAATCTCAACCTGTCGTACAATGGACAGCTTCCCCCCCCCATCTATGTATATACTCGCATTTTAGACTCTGTTACTAACTGTATATCTGTAGACTTGGTATGTCTTAAATGTCCGGTTAGGATGTATTAGAACGAAATCTAAAATGAAAATTGTAAATAAGCCATCTGTATGTAAAAAACCACCTGTATGTAAATTGTAAATAAGCCATCTGTATGTCAAATATGTCTTATATGTCTTAAATGATATGATGAATTGGAAATGGGGGACCCTGATGTAAACAAGACGAAAGTCTTTCTCTGGTCTGCATCCCCTTAACAATTGTATGTTTTGAGCTGTACTGTACTGTACCCAATATACAAGCTGTTAATAAACTTTTCAATCAATCAATCAATATGTGTTTTTGCTCGAAGCAATCGAAGAGAAATGTCACCTCCGAATTTTAATAAAATGCAGGTGCATTATACAATTTATTACAATACTTGATACTATTGTCATGCAGTGAAATAGCACTGGAGGGACCTTGGCTCCTACTTGCTCCATCCTTCTACAACAGGTGTATTTATACAGATATCATGAGACGCTTCATTGCACACAGGTTACCTCTTCATCTGTTATGTCACTTGTGTATTTAACGAATAATTCATGTCTAGTTTGATTTAGATCCCCCTAGTTAAGTAATTAACTCTCTTATGTGAGACAAATCTTATATTTTTATACAGTTTCTGTCGGATCTGACTTTCTGAGCTGCAGAATAAATATACCGTATATCCAGGGGTGCACATAACTGGTACGCAGGTACGCATGCGCGGCAACAATCTGAAATGCGTAACGTCACTTGTGTCACAACGCGCCTTTGCGTACCTGATAGGTCATCAAAACAAAACACATATTTCGCCTACACATGTTTCTTGTCAATACTCAGTGGAGTAAATTATTAGACATGTCCAAAAAAAACAAAGACATTAAGCAGCCACTTTGCCGTTTCGCTCCCTTGTTTGTTTGTTTGTTTGTAGCCTTTATTTATCCAGGTTAAAAATCCCATTGAGATCAACGATCTCTTTTACAAGGGAGACCTGCTAAAATCTTCAGACTTTCTATGACTGATTGAACTGGGTGCTGGCCGTGCCGCGCAGGACATAACCGACGGACCTGTGAAGCTTCACAGGAGGCAGAGGCTTAGATCACTGGACGACAGAGTTGGTCGCCGTGTGCACAGACGGGGCTGCTGTTAACGTCGGTGTGTACAACAGAATTGTACCAAAACTACGTCAACTGGCTGCGGTGGGAGACTCCCCTGTGCACATTCTGTGCCGCGCGCACACACTGGAGAACTGCGCAAAATCAGCTGATCACAACGTTCACGCTCTGTGGTCAAGCTGCTGCAGTTTTATTTACAACAAAGTGGAGTAAAACACACAGCTGCAAACTTACTCAGGCTGTTAATGGAAGAGTTTGAAATCAGACAGAGGTGGAAGAAGTGTTACTCAAGTAAAATTAGAAAAGTATTATCATCAAAATCTAGTTAAAGTAGCGACAGTAAAAGTAGTCATTTTGCAGATTGGTCCATTTCATAATAATGTATATGATATGTTTTATAATTATTGATCATTAAAGTGTTTAAAAATTAGTTTGAATGACTTTGTATACTGCGGGGTAGCTTGTGGATTTACTCCAGGTGGAACTAAAGTCTGATTTAACACTTGATTATATTTTCACATCATTCATCCACATCTGTAAAGTAACTAAAGGTATTAAATAAATGTAGTGGAAGAAAAGTACATGATTTACCTCTGAACTGTAGTGGAGTAGAAGTACAAAGTAGCATAAAATAGAAATACTCAAGTAAACTACAAGTATCTTAAATTGTACCTAAGTACAGTACTTGAATAAGTGTACTTTGTTACTTCCCACCTCTGAAATCAGATATGACTTCAAGTCATGTGATAATTTCTTAGTATTTGATCCTTCAACTTGGCCTCAGGAAATGCAAGGCCTTCACAGTTTTGGCAACAAGTTTTGGAGAAAGCAAATCGGAGGCTTACAAAGAGACAGGGAGGTGCATCTTCATCATCTTCATCATCTAGCATGCAAGAAGTGTAAATAGAGGACAGTGAAGGAGACACTGAGGAGGACAGTGAGGAAGACTGCACTTATTAACACCACGCTTCATGTGGGGTGAGTACCAAACGCTGTCTCCTGGTACTCATCTGAGTAACTCACTCAAAAAGTTATGTGCACACCTGCGTATATCTATTATTTATGCTGTCAATACAATGCAATGTGTCAAAAATCACTATCAACAAAACAAGAATGTTTCCATTGCTGAAACGAAATTGCAATTAATTCACCAACGTCATTTTATAAGCTTGTCAGAGCTAAAATATATAGAGTATTAATATATGAATGGAAGCAGTGTTATGCTTCTTTGTCTGTTACTTAGCATATTAAATGTATCATTAAATATGTGGTACATTTCTTGATTATTAATGTCATCATTGTTGCCATGGCAGCACAACTTAACTCAGGGTCTGTGTATAGCGTGTACAACTATTGACATGTCAAATGCATTAACTGTATGGGCTATACAGTATTTAAACATTATATATTTTCTGTCTTCTTGTCTTTTTTCAATTATAAATGTTATTCGGGGGTTATATTACATATTAACGAACCTTTAATCATCAAACCTTTAGTATAAAGCCTGCGCGAATTAGATAAACAATATTTAAAAGAAACAAAATGTGCTGGAAGATGATGTGGAGGCTGCAGCGTTGGCCCCGCCTAGCAGCCTTCCCGCTGTCCGTCTTCTCTTAGGTCCGCAGTGAATATTGAAATACTGCCGGTCAGACTGCTTCCACTCATTCGTTTTGAACGACCCGATCTACCAAGACTCTAAAATGAGTGGACGAGGAAAAGGAGGAAAGGGACTCGGCAAAGGAGGCGCTAAGCGTCACCGCAAAGTGCTCCGTGATAACATCCAGGGCATCACCAAGCCCGCCATCCGCCGTCTGGCTCGCCGCGGCGGAGTGAAGCGTATCTCCGGTCTGATCTACGAGGAGACCCGCGGTGTGCTGAAGGTGTTCCTGGAGAACGTGATCCGTGATGCCGTCACCTACACCGAGCACGCCAAGAGGAAGACGGTTACCGCCATGGATGTGGTGTACGCTCTGAAGAGGCAGGGCCGCACCCTGTACGGCTTCGGGGGATAAGCAGCTGTCAGACCAACCAACCAAAGGCTCTTTTAAGAGCCACCCAAATTACATGAAGAGTTTCCTTTTACTATGTGTCTTTTAAGATCACTCATGTTTGAGTCAAATATAATAAAACACTTGAAGAGGTGTACACTATAAAAAAAAAAAACTGAATTTCTCTAAAACGGGACTAACTTACAAATAAGTATTTAACATTTCACCTTTTTTTTCATCATTCCTTATCTGTTACCCAAGATGAATAATTTAATTTAATATATTAAATACCACGGTGGATTCTGACAGCGTGTGTCCTGTGGGTAGTTTCCACAGTAATCTATGGATTCATGTATAATATGTAATGTAAGGAGCTTTGAACACTTGGGAAAGCCCTAAAGTAAATACCATGAATTATTAAGTCCAAATGTATTTCAATAGATAGGAAATTATTTCTCAGAGCATCAGTATTGGTTGTCTGAAAGGCAATCAATTTATTTTCACACGTCAACTACGTAGGTGTTAGCATAAACACAGAAACGTTGTTGTGCATGATCTAGCCTGTGTATAACCTGCGGGCTAATGACAACATGATTTTTTACTTCATTTAAACTGAATGATTAATTATGTTAAGTCAAGTTGGTAAGAGGCATGTTAGCTAAATAACTCATAGAAATTGGAAGAAAACTGCTCCCAGCATTCTTTTTTGCGCATGCTCAGTCCACCTCAGAATACGCTACATCCACCTCGGAAAACTACCAATCCGATTCGAGCAACAACGCAGTTATATTTGCATAGAGTGGATATAAATAGACCGCTCTGCCCGCCGCAGTCAATAGCTCTATCAGACATCGACCTGTAATCATGCCTGCAGACGCACCCCCCGTGAAAGCGGCCAAGAAGGGCTCCAAGAAAGCCGTCGCTAAGACCGCAAGCAAGACCGGCAAGAAGAGGAGAAAGTCCAGGAAGGAGAGCTACGCCATCTACGTGTACAAAGTGATGAAGCAGGTGCACCCCGACACCGGTATCTCGTCCAAGGCCATGGGCATCATGAACTGCTTCGTGAGCGACATCTTTGAGCGCATCGCCGGGGAGGCCTCCCGTCTGGCTCACTACAACAAGCGCCGCACCATCACCTCCAGGGAGATCCAGACCGCCGTCCGCCTGCTGCTCCCCGGAGAGCTGGCCAAGCACGCCGTCTCTGAGGGCACCAAGGCCGTGACCAAGTACACGAGCTCCAAGTAAACCCGACTCACCGCAAACAAACGGCTCTTTTAAGAGCCACCCAAACCATCCAGAGAGCTCATCCTGTTATACTGAAACTACCAGAAATGAAAGTGATTTATTACAATAATGTTGCCCACGTTATTTATACAGAATGGTTAGAAAGAGACACACTTCATCAAATGGTCCTTGTGCTTTGTTCAGTCATAAACATCAGAGGATAAGTCCCACCTCAGTATATCTAAATATTATTCACATGGCATCCTAAATATATAGTTTTCATTCATGCCCATTGTTTACAACTCTAAAATACAAAAAAAAACAATCCAAGTAATGTCTGAAATATCAAGTACTCTCACAAATATGAATATTTACTCAAATCCTGCATTTATATAAAAAGTTGTCCCAAAATAAATTGTTAAATTTCACAACAATCTTACCAAGTCTTAAAAGACGGGTTAAAATTAAACTTTAATTATGTAAGATAGTTGATGTAATTCACGTTATTTCTCATTAGATTTGGGAAGCCAACACTATGGAGAACTATTACATTACATTTAACTTTTATTCATACTTTGCCCTTTTTTTGTGAAGTTACTTTAAATTACTTATTTATTTCAGGGCGAAATGTTCAATACTAAATAATGTAATTATTGTTATAGATTAGATAATGAATGATAATATTTCCTAAACTAAACAAACCTTTATTTCCGGGAGCCCCCGGATCATCCCCTGTGGAGGAGTGGTTTACATTGTCCAATAGTAAAGCAGCTACAGCGCACGTGTCTCCCGGCCTGCACCAATCAACGCTTCCCTGCTCCTGCAGCTCCTTGATAAAGCCGCTGCTCACAGACACACAGCACTTCTCCTCTCGCTGTGAACACTGAGGAACTACAATGGCCAGAACCAAGCAGACCGCCCGTAAATCCACCGGAGGAAAGGCTCCCAGGAAGCAGCTGGCTACCAAGGCTGCCCGTAAGAGCGCCCCGGCCACCGGCGGCGTGAAGAAGCCTCACCGTTACAGGCCCGGTACCGTGGCTCTGAGAGAGATCCGTCGCTACCAGAAGTCCACCGAGCTGCTGATCCGCAAGCTGCCCTTCCAGCGCCTGGTGAGGGAGATCGCTCAGGACTTCAAGACCGACCTGCGCTTCCAGAGCTCCGCCGTCATGGCTCTGCAGGAGTCCAGCGAGGCCTACCTGGTTGGCCTGTTCGAGGACACCAACCTGTGCGCCATCCACGCCAAGAGAGTCACCATCATGCCCAAGGACATCCAGCTGGCCCGCCGCATCCGCGGGGAGAGGGCTTAGTGACTGAGACCAGGACACCCAAACACAACGGCTCTTTTAAGAGCCACCTACACATTTTTAAAGAGTTACAATCCTACGTTATAATGATTACACTGGTTCATATTTTACTTAGTATACTGAACCGTGATGAATGAAACAAGGGAAATTGGTTGTTTACTGAAGTTACAAAGACATGAATGTATGAGTAACAGGTCAGTGTAAACAAGCGTTTACCAGTAAACCCCACTGGTGGGGCGCAGAGATGTGATCGGTGGGTCGCGAATGGACGCGATGAACGGGAGATTATTATTTTTTTTAACAAACGTTATGGACCTCAGGCCGGAATCGAACCTGGGTCCTCGCGGTCCTCGCGTTTCGGAGCCGCCGGAGCCTCGCAACGGCGGGTGTTTGCGGTGGCGGGTGCTCACTGCTCACACACACACAACTGAAACCATTGGGCAGAGAGCTTTGCACATTCTTCCCTTCGCCACATCTTATCTATGTGAAATTGGCTTTTCAGCTGTTGCAACACTGAAAAGAGTAGAGCAGCATTAAGTTTCTTATTCTGTCACTAAATTATCCAAATGAAATGTTTCTCATTATTTTAGTAAACCCTAAACAAATTAATATCACCTTTTAATAATGACCTTACATGGAACAAAGTTCAACTCACTAAAGAAAATCTAATCTGTTTTGAGAAAAAAACAAATTGATTTAGTTTTATAGATAGGAACTTTCCATCCTACTGAAAAACAGTGGGATAGAGATTTAAAGGGTGAGTTGGAGTTTAGTCCAACCTTTCATTTGGTTGGTTTATCCTTATTAACTCATATATTATTATTGTGAAGGTAATCAAGAACCATTCCTATAACAATCTGACAACACAACATTTCATATCAACTTCCATTCATGTAAAGGTAAAAACGATACTAAAATAATAAAAGGCCATAATATAGTTTGTTACAATGTCAATAAAAAAAGTTCATAATATTGTGATTAAGGCAAAGTGACCAAACGGATCATTATGGATTACTTGACTGTATTTTGCTATAGTTCAATAGTTCTACCACCAAGAGGTTTGATGCATCAGTCAAATAAGAAGGCAACTTTTAGATTCATTTCACAACAGAGTCAACTATGTTCCTAAAGAATATGACATCAATCTCATAATGAACAATTGTTATGACCAAGAATATAATTAAGACTTCCTGATCATTAAAAATGTACACTAATATGATACTATCATATTGTATTACCTTGAAACAGAACTTTAGGCGCGTTCACACCAAGTACTTTTTCCCACAATAGTTCATGAGAGCTCTTTTAGTTCTGATGAACTAAAGCAGATCGCGTTCACACCAAAATGAGTTCCTGGGGGTGGATTAGGCAAATGAAGCCGCTGACGTCACTTCTTCTTCTTCTTCTGCTTTGGGTTTACTGGCAGGCCACAAACAACTTCACGGCGAGTACAGTAGGTGGCGGTATGCACCTTAAAGTTGCAATCCGCCAAAAAACAGAGAGAAGAAGAAGAAGAACCCCCCGCGTATACTGCCACGCCCACCTGCTGTATATGAGGCGTCTGTTTACCTTCCGACCTCAGACATGAGCTTCGTCTGAGTTATTTAAAGGGGACCTATCATGCAAAATGCACTTTTGTACGTCTTTTATACATGAATATGTGTCCCCGGTGTTCCAGGGAACTCACCAAGTGTCAGAAAACACAACCCTCTCTATTTTCCTCCATACCCAAATCTCTAAAAAAAGGGGCTGCAACGGATCTGATAAAAACTGATCCAGATTTGAACACTTTCCTGACGTCAGGACAGTGGCGCTACGGCTATTGGGCCAACTCCACCAATCAGGAGGAGACAACCACGGCATTGCCGTTCGAAAGCGCTGGAGACGTTGTAGTACATATGCCAGGCCTGTAGGTGGTGCTGTTCTCACAGAATCAACCCTTGCTAAAACAGAGCTAAAAAATGTCAAATTGAGCAAAATGAGGCATGGCTAAAATGCATGATCTGTTTGGTATTTTGAAAAAAAAAAAGTATAAATATGCCTTATTCAAATATAGCGTGATAGGTCCACTTTAAGCAAACACAAATACAGATCGTCGACCAGTCAAATGCAATAGCAATGCTGATTCGGAGGCGACGGCGGTTAAGAAGGATTGACAAAAGGATTGGACGACGACGACATGCACGCGCTACGCTGTGAAATGTGTGAAATTAATAAACTGTGCCAGGTGTGCCGTATGCACACTAAATAGGCTCAGCAGCTAACACACCTTTATTATATATCCTCCTGAGAGCAACTGCATCCGTCTGCCATGAACCCTACAGAAACCTACGTGTTAGTTTTGGCCCATAGTGGCCTCCATTTGTGTCGTGTAAAATGGGGGAAATCAAAAGTTAGCAAATCCCCATGTCATGTTCATAAAAACATTTAGTTTTAGGTCAAATAATTATTACACTGCTCTGAAACTCACTACACTAACTCCTAAGATGTTCCCTTACTATAATTAATTAAAAATATTGAACTCACAACACTGGTAATAACAAACTTAACCATTTCTCTTTCTATAAATAAATAGTGGTTGTGTTGATGGACGCCATTTTGAAATACAATGAAATTATCTTTTTGAAAGCCACAATAAATAAAGCTTCGCCAGTTTATAACCGATGAAACATGATGGTATCAGAATAATAAGCAAGCTTAGTTACATGCAATGTAATGAAAAATGTAAGATACAGGCTCTGTTTAATCGCCATGTAGGTTCTCTTTTATTGCACACTCAAGACAATATCAATAACAGCATCACGCTGTCCCAGGTGTGTCGTATGCATGTAAATAGAAGTTAACATTTTCAATATAAAATAATGTGTCAGTAGTATCAAAACTAGGGCTGTCAGTCGATTAAAATATTTAATCGCGATTAATCGCATGATTGTCCATAGTTAATCGCGATTAATCGCACATTTTTTATCTGTTCTAAATGTACCTTAGAGGGATATTTTTCAAGTTTTTAATACTCTTATCAACATATGAGTGGACAACTATGCTTTATATGTTTGTTTATTATCATTTGAACAATGACAAATATTCTCATGAATATTAAACACAACAACCTCTGAACATTACAAATATTCGCCTCATTTCAACCTAGAACCTCTCTCATACAATAATACAATACTGTGTGTGTGTGTGTGTGTGTGTGTGTGTGTGTGTGTGTGTGTTGGAGCTATGTGCAGCTCAAGGCATATATGCCTGTGTGTATGAGCTGTGTTGCGCGCACTATCCGTGCTGAGTGTGCTGTCTGGCTACCTGCATAAAGTCAAGTGCTCGGCGCAGTTGTCGGCGAAATGTCGCTCCTCTGTTTTCATTGAAACAGCTCCTTATATCCGTTAGCTCAGCTAGCTAGCACCAGATGCTAACAACAACACGTAAGGTGTGCTTCGCTCGCGCCACACATACACACACCCTCCCGGTCCTCCCGATGGCCAGTCTGGGCCTGCCGGTGAGCGTGGAAGTGTGGTCTGCCACAAGCGGGCGGCAGGAGTAGGGCTGTCAGCATCAGCTTGTAGATGGTATTTTAAACTCGATGCGCTCTGAAACTACGGCGGTCGAGGACAAAAAATACACATGCGTTAATCGCGTTAAAATAATTAGTGGCGTTAATTTTTTTTTGCGTTAACGCGTTATTAACGCGTTAACTTGACAGCCCTAATCAAAACATATATATATATATAATAACAATAGATAGGCTCAGCAGCAGACACACCTTAGTGCAAAGTGAAGTGTCAGTATTAATAACAGTGGCATATATATATAATCACAATAATACAAAATGAACTGTCCCAGGTGTAGGCCATTTGGGGTGAAGTGTCTTGCCCAGGGACACAACGACATGCTGACTGCAGTGGGGTTTGAACCTGTGCTCCCCTGATCCGAACACCAACGCACCAGACCACTGCACCACCCGCCTCCCAAAAAGTCATTGTACAGTTTATCAACAACGACAAGTTTTTCTTAATTTTTTTATTGAAGGCCTGTTGGATTTAATCAGCTCGCTTAGCACTGCCAGAAGCCCAGCCTGAAAGGTATTTTGTTGCTCCACCTGGCGCGCCGACACCTCCACCTGGCGCGCCGCCGAGTCAGCATGGCGCGGCATCACCATGAGCAGCTGGTCGTCCGATTCCTGGGCCTTGTGTGAATGCAGCAGCCGTTCGTCGTGCATCTCCTTGGCACGCAGGTCCTCATTCTCCTTGCTGACCATGGCACGGCGGTCCATCGCCATGATGGTGTCAAGGAAGCTTTTTCCCCCCAGGAAAGTACCATCTCTCAGCAGGCACTAAAAATGGGGGTAAAAGTTCCCGGCTTGAAGTACTCTTTTTGGTGTGAACGCGACATAAGGGGTACTAACGGAACTAAACGCGAAAAGTACGGGGAAAAGTACTCCGGTGTGAATGCGGCTATAGACTCGTGTTCCTGAGAGCATCATGGCAGAAGAAGTTCCCACCGCCCCGGCAAAGGCACCAGCTAAGTCCCCGAAGAAGAAGGCCACCAAGCCGGCCATGAAGGTTGGTCCCGGCGCCGCGGAGCTCATCCTGAAGGCGGTCACCGCCTCCAAGGAGCGGAAAGGAATCTCTTACGTGGCTCTGAAGAAGGAGCTGGCCGCCCAGGGCTACGACCACACCGCTCACATTAAACGCGCCGTGAAGAAGCTCCTGGAGAAGAGATCCCTTCTGCAGGTCAAGGGAACCGGGGCGACCGGGTCCTTCAAGGCGGCCAAACCCGCTGAGAAGCCCAAGAAGGTGGCAAAGAAGCCCGCAGCCAAAGCCACGAAGCCGGTAGCGAAGAAACCCGCCGCTAAGAAGGCGAAGGTAGCAACACCCAAGAAAGCGACGAAGCCCGCTGCTGCTGCCAAGAAAACCCCCGTGAAGAAGGCCACAAA